TAGCTTTCTTTAATTTCAAGTACACAAGGTTGTTTCAATATGCAGATGGTGGAAACGGCAGCCTGGTTATTATAAACAAACAGCAGCTGCCCTTCACTCTTCATCTCCATAAAAGTGTTAAAAAAAGGAGAGAGAGAAAGAGAGAGAGAGAGAGAAAATCCACTTCAGGAGTTTCAAAGTGAAAATGACGGCCTTTCAAGGTTCCTCGTTTTTATCAACCCGACTCTAAGGTGCTTCTCTGTAAGTGATTTTCAATCAAAGGAATTTCATCCCCCTCTTGAGGTGCATTCAGTGCTGGATCTGCTCTGAGAGCGGCGGCCATTGGTTGAAAGAAAAATGTGCTTTTTATGCATCTGAGAGGAAAGACAGAACTGACTCTTACTGAAGTCTTTGTGTTATTAGTTTTATGCACTTGTTTTATCATAATTTAGTCATGCTTTCATCTATTTTTTGGATTGCAAAAACACAGAAAAAAATCACTCAAGGTTAGATCTATAAATCCTTTTTATAGAAGACAAAAAAAAATCCTGGCTAAACCTTTGCTGTCTTGTGTTTCTTCTTCTCATTGTGTATGACTGTTTTAGAAATATTTAACCTTTTATCAAACAGTGCTGCCTGTGAAGGTCATCGCTCTGATTATTGTGTTTTAATGGTGAAAGATTTCCACTGTGTTACAGCTGTTTATATAAATTTCATCCTAAAAGATCTGGAAACTTCAAAGCAGTTGCATAATCTCAGTCTGAAAAATCCAGCCTTGAGTTTCAGTGCATTTATATATATTTAAATATATTTAATAAATGTATTCCCTCGATAAAATAACTGGTCTCACTACTTAACTTACTTAACGCCAAAGCACTACAGCAACATGGTGTTCAGCAGAAGCTAATGCTAAAGCACTAACTTCTGTTTAAATTATATCTTCCCTTGAAAGACTAAAAGCACCAATTTAGTTTTAGCTTTATAACTTACATGTTCACAGACGTTATATTTATATTTTGTTCTCTGTTGACCATGTTTTATTTTGTTTCTGTCTGTCTTTGAAATAAAGTTATGGGGGAAAAAAGAGAGAGAAGTGAGGAGAAGAAATGCATTCCGTCTTCAGTGCCTTCAAAATAAGAGCATGAATATTAATGTCTAACTTGATGCATTCTTAGCAAACAATAACCAAAACTTCAACATAGATGTCAAACTTTATTCAGCTGAAAGCTTAGAAAGCAGTAAAAAAAATTAAAAAGTAAATTACCCCTTTATAATTTAAGTGCACTAGATATTTTCAAAGTTAGCTAAAGTGCTAAACAAAAAAATTAGCTTTGCTATTAGCGCATTAGAAGAACTGTTTCCCACTGCTTTATGGTTATATTGCTGCTTATATTCTGCTTCTTCCAATTCAACAGCGCTTTTTTTTTTCTATGAAATATGAAAGGTTGGAAAGATGAATGAATGAATGTTTCTATTGAGGTGAAAACATTACAACTTACCAAAATAAACCTTTATAGTATAATGTAAGTACTATAACAGTATTGTTTTTAGATTCCTCTAAATTTACAGTTGATTTTAGATTTAGAGGAATGATAAAAATGTCTGTTTTAACTAAAAGAAATAAAATGCAGGTATTTATAGTTAAGATAATTGAGAGTCTACAATTTGACATCCGACAAGTGGAAATAACAGGCCAGCTGAGTCTAACACTGAGTCTGTGACAGATTATCGTTGTTTTCAGTAGCCAAATAATAAACATTATGTTTAATAATAATCTAATCTGGTGATGCCAAAACTCTCCAAAGCATGATTTAAACTTTTTTGTGAAATTAGGTTTTGGTCTGTTTTGCTCTTATAGTGGCACCGCACACCCACCACTCAGGAGACGGACGGCTTCCAGGTGAAGAGACCGGGAGACGTGAGCGTGCGCTGCACCCTGCTGCTGATGCTGGACTACCAGGTGAGGGCGCCACAGACATCTGACATGTACAGGATGGTAGATCCAGTGTGAATTATCTAATATGGATTGTTTTTATAGTTTTTATTAATCAGAGTGTCTCTGCAGCCTCCCCAGTTTAAGCTGGATCTGCGCCTGGCGCGCCTGCTGGGCATCCACACTCAGACTCGCTCCTGCATCATTCAGGCCCTCTGGCAGTACGTGAAAACCAACAAGCTGCAGGACTCGCATGACAAAGAGTACATTAACTGTGACAAGTACTTCCAACAGGTACACCATGTTACAGAAAATTAGACTATTAAGAGCAAAAAAAAAAAAACAGCAACATGAACTGGACAGCTTTCCCATAATATCTAAAACCCATAAAAACTGGAAGTGAGCATGTTTTTTTAATAAAAGTGATAAAGATGGCTGTGTGAGAAAGATAAAAAAAAAACATAGGATATGTAGATGTTTTGCAATGCTATGACTGAGTGTTATTAACTAAAAAATAAAGAGTGTTTGACTATGTAGCGATAGCACAGAAATCTAGTATGAATAGCGTCCTTCAGGTTAGATTAAAAAAAACTTTCTTTCACCGCTGCAGCATAATTTTCCTTTATAACTTTTGGGAAAAACTAACCTGTAATTTGAAGGCAGGTAATCAGTGAAGAACAAAATCAAAATGGTAATAAATCTTTTTAACTAAATTGCTGGCACGAAGCTTTTTATCCTCACTGATAATTTCTAAAATAATAAATGCAGCTTCAGCCCTTTTTTAATTAAAATTACTTCTTTTTTTTATCTAGAAATTTTTAATTAGAACTCCACAACTCCCTATTTCAATGAGGTGCAAACACAAGAAAATACCAAAGCCCATTGCTCTTAGCTGCTTTTAAGAAATGAAAAGACAAGAAAACATTCAAAGGAGACAAATGTGTGTTCATCCAAGTCAGGAAACAGCTACAAAACCTGTCTAAAGTTACCAGAATCTGCATTCAGAGTAGTAATTAAAATGATTAAAACAGCTGGATGTTAGAGTAGTTTGAGCTAAGTAGCTAAGGTCAACACACAACCTGCATTCAATGTTAAAATTGTAAGATAAAAAAATCCTGCGTTGTCCAGTAACTTGGTAAAATCACTCGATTGAGTTCAATTGATGTGGTCAGTTTTTTTCCTGCATTTTATGTAAACAGAGAATAGTAAATGGGTCGCCTCAGGTTCATCACAGGTTATACTTTAAAGGTTTAATTTTGAAGATCCTTGTCCTGCTCTACAGATTTTCGACTGTCCTCGCCTGAAGTTCTCTGAGATTCCTCAGCGCCTCACTAACCTCCTGCTACCGCCCGACCCCATCGTCATCAACCATGTCATCAGGTTCAGACTCCTACTAAATCAAATGGAATCTTACCTAAGTAAGTAAAACCCCTCTCTGTTTCCTCTGGATTCACTCATTCTCTTGCTTTCCCCTCAGCGTTGACCCCAACGACCAGAAGAAGACGGCCTGCTACGACATTGATGTGGAGGTGGAAGACCCCCTCAAGAGCCAGATGAGCAGCTTCCTCCTCTCCACCGCCAACCAACAGGAAATCGCCTCCCTCGACAACAAGGTGAACGTTCTAAAGTCTTTGTTGATACCTGTCTTCTTTACTGAAGAAACCGGTTAATTGACAAACTTTTTAACTTTTCTAAGTCATGTTCGTCCACCAAATGATCTGAAAATAAGGGACACAACTAAGTTCACATTTTATATTGGAAACATTGATTTTAACTTTAGTTCGTTTGGATTTAATTTATATTTCTCCCTTTTTGCTATAGCAATTGGGGGCTTGTCCGGGAAACAAAGTAATTAACATCTATTGTCTCATTTTCACTGAGTGTTACAGCACGGGTTGGTGTGGTTCAGAATGCTATTTTGTGTGTTTTCATTTGTAAAAGCGGCCCATACCAAAACAGACAGCACCATTCCTGGGCCACCTTTAGTAATAGCTTCATGGTAGAATGGTACGGTATGATTAGAGTGGAACTACTGATGTTACTGATGGGGGACAGTAAAACGCCATTGGTTGTGACAAGCACGAGACAAAGGTGATTAGATTTAACCCTGTCTGCTGAGTGAGAGTCCAACTGGAGGTGGAAATGCTCTCCTGAATACGCCAAACCATAAAATGGCGTACCAAACCGCAGCAACCTGTGACGCTCCACTCATTAGAAACAAGGTATGTCCGTCTGGAAAGGGCTACAAAGCCATTTCTTTCTTTGAGACTCCTGTGAATCACAGTGGGAATCCTTTTACACAAATAGAGAAAAAAATGGCAGAGTTGAACCTTCCCAGGATTACTCAGAAAACACATCAACAACCCATCCAAGAGATCACAAGACTTCTTAGAACAATAGCTGAAGCTCTGATGTTCCTCAATTAAGTTCAGTGTTTATGATCCAACAAGAGAGTCTGGGCAAAAATGGCAACCATTGGACGGCTCAAATACAGAAATCACTGCGGACCGAAGAAACATCGAAGGCTTTCCCAAAAAACATCTCGATGATCCCCAAGAGTTTGGGAAAATAATACGTTGGGAAACTTCTGTCCTGTTACGTCTGACGTAAAATTATTCCACAGTCCAATGTGTTGGTTCTGAATACGACTGAATACAGTTGGCTTATTCTGTAGGACAATGATCTAAAGCATGCCAGCAAGCATGAATGGGTCAAAAATGTATCAAAACGAAGGGTTTGAAGTAGCCTAGTCAAAGGCTGGACTTAAATAGGTGTTTATCCATGGAAACATCCCAGTATGGCTGAATTAAAACATCTCTCCAAAGAAGAGTGGGACCAGATTTCCTCCATAGTAATGCAAAATACTCACTGCCAATGAATTCTAATGCTTCTCTGGAGTTGTTGCCGTCAGTTTTGGCACAAACAGTGATTGGATTTAGGAGGCAAATACTTTTTATGTGGAACTGTATAAATAAAAACCCAAAATTTTTTCTAGACAGTAAATGATATAACATGCAATTACCTATTGAATTGTTTTCTGAAATGATGGTTGGAAAGCAACATATATGAGGTCTTGGGATGACTCCAGAAATTAGACGTGTGAAATAAAATTGCGGTCACAAGTCAATAAAAGCTGGAAGATTTTTAGCCAACTTTTAAATGGGCTACATTTTATTAGGTTTTATAAAAATGGTTTTAGCTGCTTTGTTTCATCTGGGGGTGGGGGTTTTGTACGGTTATTATTTCTGCAAGGTTTCTTTTTTATGTCCAGTTCCTCTTTCTGTTTCATTTAGAAAACCTGGCGCTGGTTATTTCATTATGTGTAGTTTATGTTTCTGCCTATCTGGACTCTGTTACTGTTTATCACTCATCTGTTGTTCATTTGGGAACTGGTTTCTCAGCAGAGCCCCTTCCTGGTAAATCGTAAAGCTCCTTCATGGTAGACTTTTTTTTGTTTTACATGAAAAAGATTGCAGAAGCATTGCTGGTTTAATGAGGCTGCACTTAGGGGGAAGTCGTCCTTTTAAGTTCAACAGAAAACCATCCTTTGTAATATATGTAATATGTATGCTGATATGATTTCTATGTAAAATCTAAACATTTCTTCACTCTGTTTTGTTGCTTTGTCTCTCTTGTCTTGAACCCTGAGATACTTTAGCACCCAGAAATATTGGTTTCCCATAAAATATAAAGATTATGACATCAGTTTTGGCCACTGATGCGGCAGAAAATTGATGAACAAGTTTACGTAGCGATAAAAATTTAATTCCTTAATGTTAGAATGAGTCACGTAAAACTTCTAATTTTGAACTAGGCTCCCAAATTGAGGAAGTGTTGCCAGGTCAGAGGCGGTGAAGGTTGGCTCTTCTGGTTCAGAGGTTTGAATCAGGTGTTTCTGTTTTCCAGATCCATGAGACCATCGAGTCCATCAACCAACTGAAGATCCAACGGGACTTCATGCTCAGCTTCTCCAGAGATCCCAAAGGCTACATCCAAGACTGGCTCAAGTCCCAAAGCCGAGACCTCAAGGTTCCACATGCTCATCCATCTATCCGTCCATCCGTCCATCCATCCATCCATCCATCCATCCATCCATCTGTTCATCCATCCATCCATCCATCCATCCATCCATCCATCCGTCCGTCCGTCTTTCTTTTTTCCTGAACACTGTTGAAATATGCCTCATAAATACATGGTGAACTTTTGTATTTATATTAAAATCTGCTAAAGAGGAAATAATAACTCTTGAACTTTGACTGTGGAGCAACATGGAGTTATAAAGTGAAAAAACATGGCTACTCCTCTGGTCCCTCAAACTAAATGTAGCATTTTGTTAGACACTTCAATGTGTTTTGAGTTATAAACATGTATGAAATAACAACATAAAGATTATAACCCTCAATATGATTCACGCTGAACCAAGAAATGGTTAATCACAATAGATTAAATCATAGATTCAATAATATTTAAGAATGCACTTAAAATGGTTTTTAACATAAAGTTACCAAAGCTCGTAGTTTCACAGTTTGTCATCACCTTAGACGTTCGCTGCAGGATGTAAATGGCGTCCATTTTTCTAACTTGTGCTGCAGTTGATGACCGACGTGGTGGGGAACCCCGAGGAGGAGCGGAGGGCGGCGTTTTACCACGAACCCTGGTCCCAGGAGGCGGTCAGCCGCTACTTCTACTGCAAGGTGAAGAAAGCCCACCCACTGGCTCATCTTTTATAAGATCTCTTCTTCTAACTCGCTGTTCTCCTGACAGATCCAGCAGAGGAGACAGGAGCTGGAACAGGCCTTAGCAGTCCGCAACACCTAAAGCGGAAGGCCCTCCTGAAGTTCTGCCTCTGGATTTTGAAGCTGTGTGCGTGTGTGTGTGTGCGTGTTTGGATTTTTGTGAGTGTGTGTGTGAGGCCAGCAGTGAAGTCTAGATCTTCAGCTGAACCTAAAGAAGTCCACATTCAGTTTGTCAACAGTTTTGAAGCTAAATAGGACTCAACAGCGGTTTGTCAGACCCAGATATGAATGCACTTCCTGTTTGAAAAGACCATGAAGCAATCATCGTTAGCAGCACTGTTGGCCCTCAGAGGCTCGGCTTTGTAAATATGTCCCGCAAAAACTGTCGACCAGCTGCTCACACACCTCCATGTTTGTGCTCTGGATGAGTCTAACCACGCACATTTTTTTATTTGTTCTCATTTGAATCCTATTTTTTTAAGGGTTAATTAATAACACCAGCAAAATATGAGATTACAGTTTTCTGGGTGGCTGCAGATTATAAAACACGATGTGTTGGTTGCATTCATTGTTTCTCCACCATGTTTAGTTTGCTTTAAAAAAAAGAGACTGACGAGCTAAAGTATCACCATGCTATCAGCAGTTTGTGACAGAAGTTTACATACACTCATCACTGCCATAAGTATTATATTAACTTTGTTCCATGAATAGTTTTTATGTTCAATTCTCCTTGGTGAACTAATCGTTTAACAACTTCAACTTTTAAAAAAACAAGATTTGGGAATTTTCAAGTTAATAAAATTTTATCTAATTCACATGAGGGCAAAACTACACGTACATGCTCTTATATAAACATACAAACCTCTGAACATCATCAATAAGTTGATTAATTTTTTTCTGGCTAAATATTTAACAAGTTTTCTTGGCAAAATGCACACAATTGGGTATTGTTGTCCAGCACAGGACTGTGATTCCAAACACACTTTAAAACTAAGGCTGGGATTTTAATTTTGCTTAATTAATGACTTTGATTTTAAAATGTTAACACAATTATTCCTTTTTTTTTTTTTTTTTTACACTCTGTTCCCATGGGAACCTTTGTATTTGTGCGTCTCTGGTACGCCTGTAAATCCAACATTGTCTACAAACATCAGTGATGGGTGGTAATGCTGCTCTTGACCTAGTGGGAGTTAATTTTTGCTTCAAAAATAATCTAATACGATGCTGGAAAAGATTATTGTGTCAAAGTTGTGCTAAAAGGAGCTAGCCTATCAGCAAAGCCATTAAATCTTAAACTACCATCTCAATATGTTACAACAGGACAGGCTTCCCCAATGTCAATATTAGCGTCCACATTTTCAAAGAAGCATTTTTTTTTCTTAAATTACATAAATAAGAGATTCCTGACACACTTAAAAGTATGGTATGGGTATAATATCACTTTGCACCAATCTGATGGTTGAATAACCTAAATAACAGACTAAAAATAATAAATATATTTGTTGTTGAGCTCATGGCTATTTATTCAATAATTTAGCAACAATTTAGCTTTTGATCAAAATGAGATTAATTACAGTATCTACAATTAACATCGAGTCACACAGCTTGTCAAAACTGGTTTAGGAAGCGCTACCTTGCCTGATGCTAGCAGGTTAGCTCGATGCTAGCAGTTAGCCTGATGCTAGCAGGCTAACGTCAAGCTTCTGAATGGGCACCCGAAATGTTTTGTAGACTGCACTTATATTTGAACTGGTACCAGTTCCGAAACCAAATTCAGAACCAATTCAGCCAAAAAGAGTGGTAAAATAGAGCCAGAACTACGGTATATGAAATGCTTCCTGATGCTACCGGAAGCTTCGTTTGAGGTACAACGTGCTAAGAGACGTAAACATATGTTTGTGGGTTTGTATGTACAGATTTGAGCCTTTTCATTATTAATTATTCGTTTTAAGAAACCTAAAATTAGCATCAGGATGAATGTTTATTAACTTCTGACCAAAACAGTTGCTGCATTTTAATGAAGGAAAACAATAAGATGTGACGATCGTATTGTTTTTTTTTCCTTCCTTCCTTTAATCACGTCACTGCGGTGGAAATGGGGGGGGGAGGGAAATAATCCCTTTCGTGTGTTTGTAAGATCAGTGTTTTGAAGGTTTTACCAAAGGATGCAACAAAAAGAAGCAGAGAACAAAAGAAACTGGACAAAAACACAAACCTGTGTTTTAAAAAATATTAATAACCGAGCAGTATTAGCAATTAAGTCCAAGTCTGTTGCATTTTACATTTTCTATGTTATACATGCACAGAGAAGGGGAAAAAAAGAATAATGAAGGGTAGTTCGGTGGAGATTTGAATGTAAATATGTTTTGGTGTCCAGCTGTACAGTCCACATCTGTTTGGATTACATGTTGCAGTATGGGAGCTCCATTGGTTTTTAATTATTCCCACTTTGGGGGTCGATTTGTTTTAGTGTCTTACCGTGGGAGCTGCAACAAAAATCAGTCTCAGTAGCTGCAACAGAATATAATCTGCACCAATCTCATTTTACACGTTTTTTAATGACTTGTATGTATATGTTGTACTGTCGATTAGATTGTTTTTGGATGAGAGGGAGGGTTACTTTGCACTGTGCTGTAAACTCTTTGTCGGGACTCTCTTTATTGTGGGTGAGACCCTCTTTATTATCCCAGCGTACACAAAAATCGACCTATGCATGCTCCATGAACATGGATCAATACATCTGATGAGGCAGTCCGTGTAAATATGAAAAGGTCTGCATAGATGTGTACGTAGCCAAGGCAGGACTCGGCAAGTTTGCTGATAGCGCCTTCTTGAAATTGTTTGTTTTTTGCCAAAAAAGAAAAAAAATAATAATAACTTGTCCTACCAGCAACTAACTAACTGTAGGTGTGAGCTGTATGTTTTCATTATTGGGACTAAGTTATATTCACTGCACTCTGTAGGTAGCTGTAGCTAGGAAATCAGTCCCGTGTCTCACCTGGAGTGTTTCTTTTTCTTCTTTTTTTTTATTCATAGCATGTCCAGGACATTTATAATGTTGTCACTGAATCACTAACCCCCTCTTGTGGAGGACACCTAGAGCTGCAACTCCTACATCAGAATCATCACTACTGTATTAGTCTGTCACCGATCCCTGTCCATACTGTTGCATGTGGGTCTGAGGAGTGGGAGCTACTCTCTCTTTGTTTACACTGAGGGTCACCGACAGGAGGTTAATAATAATAAATAATAATGCTGTATATCTAAAGGGTTTCATGATCATGTTCTGTAAAGAAACAGAGGGGAATACAGCTGTAACATTGTGAGACAGCCTGGATGTAAATAAAGAAGCGCTTGCCAAAGTTTGTAAATGCCATCAGATGTGAAGTCTCTTTTGTTGTTCATCAGTTTTCTATGGCTTAAAAGCAACATGTTCATTTATTAGTATGATTTTAAAATCCACGTTTTGGAAACTGATTTGGAAAACTCTTCTGCTGCCTTTTTTTGTTACTAATATGAATTATTGTCATTTTCATCCTTCAAGTGTCAAAATTTCAACTTTATATTTTTGGGCCTCTGATGTCATTTTAGTTGTTAAATGATTGATAATTTGATTGTTTACTCAGTTTACTCAGACCTTTTACCAAATACCTTTTTACTCTTGAGTAATTTCTTGGACTGTTAATTTTTACTTTTACTAGAGTAAAAATATATTGAACTCTTCCTTTTGGTTCTCTACCAAAGTCTGACCAGAAGTTAATGTTCTTTGGGATGATTAGAAGAGAATGCAAAGCGCCTAAATATGAAAATTAAGATGTTTTTTTTTAATAATATCTGCTACTCGTTGCGTCGTCACATAAATGACTTTGCCTCAGAAAAATGTTTCAGTTCCGGCTCATTGGTGGGGTCTGCTTCCTGCAGGAGCCCGGCGCTGTTCGGAGGCGGCAGACAAGAGTTTTATTGTTCCTGAAGGAAGCAGGTGGAGGCCCTCCTTTCCACTGTGACCTGCGGCGGAGCTGGAGCACCTTGCCGCCTCAGAAAGAGCCTCTTTCACTGCGCTGCTATTCTCCTGAGCCCACGGCCCCTCTCAGGGGCGAGGGAGGTTAGCAGGCCTCATTTCGCTGCATCAGCAATGAGGCTGCATGAAGCGAGGCATTCAGGGTTCTCCACAATCCCAGCGTCGGGGGTTAACCACGTAATGCCGGGGCGATCATTGGCTGAATCGGCCCGTCGTCTGGGCAAAGGGTTCACGTCTGGACCAGGGTAGAGACTTTTCAGATTTAATGTGAGGAGACAAGGCGGGGCGTGGAGCTGAGGAACAAAATGTTCATCAGAACCAGAGAATGGTTCCTGAACATCTCTGCTCCGTTTTCCAGCTCAATCAAAAACAATTCTTCTGAAATAATTGATCTCTACCTTGTCTTTTGACCTGAAATTCCCACCAGATCTTAAATATATTTAAAATATGTGTAAATTCAGAATTTAAGGCAGGGAATAAGTATTGAACACAGCCAGAAAAAGCTGGTAAAAGGATTGGAAAGTCAAGAAAATAGTAATTCAGTCCATATTTTTGACCTTAAAAAAAACCTCTGCAACCCTCGTCTTTTTATCAAATACTTTCTTGGATGGCTACTTTTTATTTGTACTTGACTAAAAATAGTGCTCTTCTTACTTACACTCCCAACGTCTGTGTGTAGAAAAAACAACTATAAAAAAAGCAAAGGAAAATGAAAAATGCTGCACATATACAAAAACTAAAGTCAATATCAATATCTGATAATAATGTTGTTTTGGCTCAATACATATATTTACAAATACGAATAATAAAAGAAAACAAGCAGCTGTGCGTAAATTTTACTCTTTAATACCTCTTACAAAAAAAAGAACATTTTCTAAAGAAAAAGGCAGCCAATGGCTTCAGCTTGTTTCCAGTATCTGAACAGCTCCACAATGGAAGACTTATGGCTCAAGTGATTTTCTTTCCAATGATTATTAACAAAGAAGGCCTTTGTTTATATGTTACAGATACTGAAATATGCCTAAATATATAAATACCGTCTCAGAGGCTGAGAACGCAAACAGCAGGAATCAGAGTAGCATCTATGATTCGTTGCTGTCTAGACGTGACACATTTCAAAAGGTACAAAAGTAAAAGTCAAAAGTTCCCGTAATGAGCAGGGATACTTTCAGCTGCGAGGTGTAAACAGTTACGGTTGTTATTATTGTTTTTTTTTGTGTTTTTTTTTTTAATTGATCCTGACATCTTTGTACCATTAGATTTCCAGAAAAAAGAGGATTAAATCCACAGTTATCTGCATTAGACCGGTGTTTTATGTGCTGTTGGCCTGGTCCTGCTCGAACAGAGCCATGGCGAGGTGCGACCGCGACCCCAGACTCTCCAGGTTGCTGAGCACGCAGCGGTGGTAGATGTCCTCGCTGAACCGCGGGTTGCACGCCCGCCGCACGTACTTTTGGATCAGCGCCGGCTCCACGGCCCGGAACACATGCAAGCCGGAGTAACGCACGAAAATGTCGTAAACGTCCATGCTCTCCATCAGCTCCTCGTTCTCTAAAATGTCGGCCGCCATCTTGGTGCGTGCGCTCATGTAGTCGGCGTTGTAGAAGCAGGCTTCGTCGAAGACGTGGCGGTCGAAGTGGCCGTCACGGAGAGACTCTGAGGCGAAGGTGGAGGAGGCAGACGGCTGCTGGTCGCGGTAGATGACGGCGGGGTTGAACTCCTGGAAGTGGACGGGGAAGAAAACCTGCCAATTGCTGATGGCGTTCATTCGGCAGCGGTTCAGGAAGTCCGCGTTGACCTCGGTCCAAACACTCGACAGGAAGAAAAGCGTGTCAACAGGGTGCTTCTTGGAAATGATGTCCATCAGCTTGACCTGTGAGGGAACCTCCGTCTTCACGCTGATCCAGGGAATCTTCACGTCGCCGTAACGTTTTTCCACTTCGCCGATCATCGACTTGACCCCAGCGAATACGTCGGTCTGGCTGACTCTCTGGGCGTCGAAGGGGTCGTAGATGAACAGGAAGGTCAGTAAGACGTTATCGTGGGTGTCCAGGGTGTTCGTCACGTACATGTCGAGGAAGTTACCCACGTAATCCTGATCCTGGGCAGTGACCGGCAGGATGACCTGCACCCGCGTTGCCTCCGTCACGTAAGGCATGGGGATAATCTCGACAGCGCTCAGAGGTCGTAACAAGTTGACCCTTTTGGCAATGACCTGGCTGTGACCTTTCTGGGTGAAAGCCTCCAGCGCCAGATCCAGTATGTACTCCATCCCACGCGTGGGATCGAAGCGCCTGTAGCCGTTCAGCAGGCGCCGCTTGCGGAAACGGAGCTGCGGCTGGTAGCGCTCGTTGAGCCGCTCCACGGCGACCTCCAATATGGCGCTGACGTCGGCTCGGTCAGCTCCTCTCATCTCACATTTGGGAGAGCCGTCCGTGCAGGAGTAAATGTGCTCCTCGGTGAAGTAATCCCAGTTTATGACCTCGAAGCGGGTCTTGGGTTTGAAGGGGGAGTTGATGCCGATTGGCCACATGACCCCAGCCTTACCCTCAGGGGTCAAGTGGCTCAGGTTGCTGATCTGCAGCTGATGGATACACCAAAAAAATAAATCTTTAAAATATAAAACCAAAGTAAAATAATACCTTTAAGATACCTGCTGTTTATTTAAATTCCAAATAAATTTAATTAACTCATTAGCAAGTTTGCAGGGTTAAAACTAGGGCTGAAACGATTAATCAGATTAATCGTGATAAATGGATCACTGAAATAATTGCCAACTAACTTAGTAATCGATAAATTGTAAGAATAATCAATCGAGTAATGGATTTCTAAAATAATTGTTAGCTGCAGTCCTACTAATAATTATTTTAGTAATTGATTATTGCAATTAATCAATTAATCGGATCAAATCTTTTGGGCAAATTCTGCAGATTTTTCATTTAATCACATAAACTTTTTTAACAATATTAGAAATTTGTTTTAAAAAATGCAAACAAATTAAATTTATTTTTTTAAATACCAAAATAAATATATTTTTTTAGGTTAATTCCAATAAATTATCATTCCTTTAGAGCAGTGTTTTTCAACCACTGTGCCGCAGCGGCACACTAGTGTACCGTGAGTGATCG